TGCCTGTTGGGTTTGCAAATCTGAGTGACGTGTGTTCAAGCCTCTGCTGAGTTTTATTTCTTCTTTGCAAGGCACCTAACTTGAGTTAGCACACATCTAATTCAACATTGAAAAGAAAACAAAAAGGAGAGGATGGAAAAGCTGTTGCCTTTTCACCCTTTGGACTGCCCATTTTAAAAACTGTTATTTAAAGATGAAAACATATGGCTTTAAAGAAAAGTTTTATTTCTTTTTTCCACTCTTTCATTAAGGTTTTTGGCATTAGCTTGTTTACCAGTCTGAACAGTTCTTCAGCCCTTGGCTGTGGCTGGGGGCACTGATGTGTTTCCTGGCTGTAGAGTTTAGCTCAGCAGAGGGAGGCCTTTATGCCAAGCGGGCCTTTGATGTGCGAGTAGAAAGGAGGATTAGGTTTTGAAGCAAGGTTAGCTCTAAGATGAGAACCTGTTTGCTCTGAGTGGTGAGTTCAGATATTTCAGGTGTATGTATTGCTGTTTAGTTAAGCCTTATGCAGGCATTGGCAGGATGTGGTGATTATTGAACTGTTTAAAAACAAATCCTAAAGGAGAAAAATTACACTGCCTTTGCATTAGCATGTCTACAGCAGGTGTAATTTAACATCGTCAACTCAGTTCAAACAGATTGGGAATTTGGCTGCCTGTACAATGTGGGCTGTTTAGTTATTTTAATTGTCTTCTGTTGAAGTCCTAAATAGTAATTTCTTATCTGAATAGAGCTATAGGCAATGGGATGAGGGTAAACAGGAAAAAGACATAATTACATTGGTTTAAATTCACACCACAGGTCACACCAAAAGATGTCCTTGTGTAAACAAGGCTTGTGTTTGTCCATACAGTGAGTTCAGCTGTGTCCGCTGCTGACATCCATTGTCAGCAACACATCATTTTTGTAGTATAGCCAAGGCTTTAAAACAAAGACGGTAATCAGTCTTGTTGCATAGCTCAGTGACAGAGGTGGCATTATACTGATGGACAAAGCAAAGTGGTTTTTTAGCCCTGTGAAGCAAGAAGAGACAAGAATATTGGCTGATGCGAGTATTTTTCTGTATTTTTATTGCCAGCTGCTTAAGATTTATAGTGAACCCATACCATGCTTTCACCAGCCTTGAAATACTGTTTCCTTTTTAAAAATAAAGGTAGTTAAGAACATTGAAATGCCTTGGCAAAACCTTTTTTATTTAAGCTACTGCTAGCTTTTGTGAATTATTGTTTATACTTGTAAGTACTATTGTTTATACTCGTAAGTAAGACGTTTAAAAGTGAATTTTCATTTTTGGGAGACTCCTAGGTCTCGGGTGCAAGTCTCAGGTGGGAGTAGCAGAAGGTATACTGCCTGAGGGAGGGGCAACTCTGCAGCATTATTTGTGGTGGTATTTGCAGAATAAACTGCATTTTATTGCTGCTGGGGGAAAATCAAAAGCACAATGACAACTTTTTGGTGTTTGCAGAGGACAGATCCAGGTCTCTTTGTATAACACATGCTATAGTTGTATACCACTTCTTCAAAACTGCACCTCAGTATGCCTTACATGGAGACCAAATTAAAAAAGAACTTGAAACCACTGTAGACCACAGCTGCATAACTGAGGTTGTAACAGGAACTGGAAAAGAGTCTTCTACGGGACTTCACAGTTTGATGTGCCAAGTTAAATTTGGCCTTACCCTGTTACTACTCCTCTAGTATTACAATGGGAGACATTGCAATACAATGATTGGCCATGAAGTGTTGAAAAATCATATCCAGGCAGTGGAGAAGACTGCAAGCTTCATCTTGTTCCTTTGTGATTAAAAATCCTTAGTGAAAAGTGGACTTCAAAAAGTACAAGATCTTTCTATGTGTTTGAGCTGCCCTGCTGTCAAACTGTTTCATGCCTTGCTTCTCTGGCAAGGATGGGTGCTGACTCTACAGCTTATGCTGTAGCTACCATAACTGAGAGGGAGTCATTCACCATCTTCCAAGAAGGTCGTTGCCTCAGCCATTTTCCCCATGTCATTAGTACAGGAAATGCAACAGGGATTTCTTGTGAAAACAAATGCTAAGGATGTGTTTAGGATGTGATGAGAAGATGTTCCAGGGGGATTGGTCTGGGCAATGGCTGCTTCTGCCTAGAGAGTTGTGAACTGTGTTGCTTGTGGTTTATATTCATATGTAAAGCACATGGAACAGTTATACTTCTAAGTTTTCCAAATAAAAACACCAAACAAGCTATAATGAATGCTTGACGCAGGTTCCACATGCATCTAGAAAGCCTTTCCCCTCTAGCATTGCTACCACACTGACACTCTTAGCTATTTCTGTTGGAAGCATGGGTCTGTTGAACCCAGCCCAAGCAACTTGTTGGGGTATTTATTTACAGCAGAATGTCTTGGTTTGCTTTGTTGTTTTATTTTGGGATTTTGTTTTTTCTTCTAGTGGAAACCCTACTTTCTGCAGATAATGTCCTTTACTCCAGATGCTTTTGATTCGTGTGACTGTGAGGGATATTGTAGTCAGTGTTTTCATAGCCTTTATCATCTTATCTTTGCAGTGATTCCTCACAGTGAGTCAAGGAAACCTAGTGCTTTATTAAAAACTGTATCAGCTTGTGGAAAAACACTTTGCTCTTAGTAAACAATAACAAACACACACATGCACTGTCTTACTGCATTTAAAGTCAGTGGAAGATGACTGCAAGATTGAAATATCCCTTTATTGTTCCTTTTTGTAATGGTATCAATTGAGAACTTCAGTACTCAAATTCAAAACAACTGATGAAAGTTTGTGGTGAACCAAAGAAAGTATTGTTAAGATGATGTTCTCCATTGTCACTCTCCTTTGTTTTTCATCTTGTTCCTCTGTTCTCTAGGAATTTATTACAGAACAGTATTGAGGAATGAAGAGAGAAAAGTCTTTATCCCCGCCTCTGAGAATAACTCTGTGTTATGAATATACGTTCAGTAAAAATTCATAATGTAGTTATGAATATACGTTCAGTAAAAATTCAGAAGTTAATTCTTGGAGTACTGTTTTGCTAACAAAAAAAGCTTCAATAAAATTACAGTTGTTTCCAGAACCAACAGCTTCTAAAATGTGGTTTTAACTTTTACAGTTATCTCTCTGGTAGAGGCATCATTCAGTATATGTCAATTGCATGAAAAGCTTAATTAAATTCTTTGTAGAACAAAGTGTTTCCTTTAAGGAAAAAGAAAACTAGAACAACAACAACAAAACAAGCAAACAACAAGCAAACAAAAAGTAACCAGAATATAAAACTTGTAAAACAATGTTACTTTGGATGTTTTTTCTCAGGGCTTAATGATTTTAAGAAAGGATTTGCATCCTTTTTTTGAGACGAGAGTAGAACTTCAACTCGGTTGGCTGCTTTATCATGATTCACACTCAAGAGTTACCAGTTCTGGTACTTTGGGTATTTTTAGGATAACATGCCTTGCTAAGCACTGCTAGGTTGCTTATTACTGTTCATATCACGTTCCAAACAAGTAGTTGGAGCAACAGCGTATGTAAGCATTACACCTGAAGTTACACATTCTCCTTTTTAATATAACGCTTGTCAGTGCTTTTTCATGTCTTGTGTTTTCAGTGTGATGAGAACTGTACCATGCCAGGCAGCGTAAACAGAGTGAATACCTAGCTTTCAGAAATAAGTGCTCAGAATAGCCTATGAATAATTTTTGTCTGATACTACAAGGGGAAGAAAAATAGTAGGTACAGTAACAAAAGGACTGAACTAATTGAGTAACAAAAATTCAAGCGTTTTAATGGATGTGGGAGGACTGGATTATTAACGGTCGCATTAGAGAAAAACACTGCATCGTCTGTTCTTCTCAAAGCTTATGGCTTTGTGTTTATAATAGAGGCCACTTATCCTGAGGCCCTTGTCGCTTGCACTGGAGAGGAAAAAAAGGAAGGAAAAATTCCTTGGCTGTCCTTTCAGTGGCAAGCTACTTCACTTCTGCCAGCAAAACCTGATGTCTTTAGTTTCAGGGTACTTTATAGCAAGGGCTGTACCTCTGCCGAGAAGGTTGGGTGGTGTCTCCTTCATCAGGGTTCAGAAGCTATTATAGATTGTCACTGGGCATTGATTACGAGTTGGGGGTTTGGTTTGTTTTTTTAAATAGAGACTAGTAAGTAAATAAAGCAGCAGGATGTAATTCACCCAGCTCTATTCTACAGATTTGGTAAGGGGTAGAGTTGCTGTTACTTGAATTTGTTGGCTGTAGGTTTCTGTACAGTCATACTAGCTGTATGTAGTGCTAGGTGGTATGGTTTCTTCAGCCTCTGTAGACTGTTTGTTTTACCTTCCCCTTTCTAGAAAACAGTGTTAAACCCCCAAATCTCAGTTTTGTTTTTGCCATATTTTTATTACTTTTCTAATTTTTTTCTAGTTTTCTAATTCATTGAGAAGAGATCAGTGCTTGGTGTTTTGCTGCTGCTGTGATATATTTTTTGTCCTGAAAGATTTAACTGGAATAGGTCTTTCTTCTGCCATTTAATAGCTGGTTTTGACCCTTGAAAACAAGATGATGACTGTTATACCTTCGCCTCCACCCACTGGGTCTACTGACCAGTTACGCAGCAGTATGGAAGACTAGTGCACTATGTTTTTGCTGCTGTAACTTGCTAAATGAAGGACTAAAGTTTATGTCAGGTCTCTCCATCTTTTTCTTTTCCCTTTTTTTTTTTTTTTCCCCTGGCCGTAGAGTATCACGTAACTTCACTGATGGAAATTAATCCATTTCACTTATTAGTTTGACAAGCCTTTGTGCTTTTCCTGCTGCTAGCCATCTGTGTACCTGGTTTTGGCACTGGGGCAAAGCAAGAGATCATGACATAGCCTGCATGATATTTATGTGTTAGGTCAGCTATGTATGTGCACGCTGACTTCTGCTGTATTTAAAACCAGTTTATCTTGTGTTAGAGGTGAAGGAAATGTTCTTTTTTCGTTACAATATTAACATATTGGTGTACCTCTTGACTTCCAGATTGCATCACAACGCATAAGCTCAGTGGATCTTTCATGCTGCAGCCTGGAGCACCTGCCTGCCAACCTGTTTTATAGCCAAGACCTCACTCATCTCAATTTAAAGCAGAATTTCCTAAGGCTAAACCCCAGCCCATCCACAAGCAGAGCGCTTAGTGAATTGCAAAGGTAAAGTGATACTGTTCTATTAGTCTTCTCTGCCCTTGGAGCCAAGTGACCACTGGTTTGCAGGAACTTTCTTAAAAACTTACTACCTCTTCTTATGAAGGATTGGCCTGGTTGTAATGCTTCAGAAACTGGTTAACTGTGTGTTAGAAACAGACTCGCTTTTATAAGAAACTTAGTGTTTTTCTTGTAAATAGAAGGCTATTTTCAATCCAGATGCGGTTTTCAGAATGCATTGTTTTTACCTACCCACTGAAGCTAGGCTGTAGTTCTTCAATCTTTGATTCATGTCAAACCAATGTGAGTTGCACATGAAAGGGCCAGGTAGGAACAGTACTGTGCATGACTTTAGTTAGTTTTTTGTTACCCCCAAGTAAAGAAAGCCCCGATTTAGTAAATTCCTGTCCTTTTTCTACTCTGCTCAGCCTTAATTCTTCCTCTTTAGTAACTGTGGCCTTCCAGTTGCTCTTTCCACTGTTGCTCACCCAAGAATGTAACAAATGGGTAGATGGCTTCACAGTTGGTGATCTGAATGATATAATATGTGGAATCAGCAGCCTTTCTGTATTCAGAAAGATGAATATTCCCATACTGAATATAAAACTGATTTTAATTTCAGTGGTAACTGAATTGAAGAGTACCTCAGGATTATGTTTGTGGATGGTCCTGTTCAAACAAAATGTTTTAAACCACATTTCTAAATCCTTTCCTCTTTGTCAAAAAACTGAAAAATAAAGATGGATTATGCAGGCTGTTGTATTTTTATATAATTCCAGTTGCGTTCTGGAAAAACAAAAAATTGGCATAATGGAAGATGAATGAACCCAGCAGGTCTGCTTTACAAACAAAGCAAGCAGTTTCCAAGAGCTTATGAGCACGGTCTGGAGAGGAATACTGGGTTAAATGTTCTGCGAATATCGGTATATGTCTCCAACAAGATAGCAGGTGGAATTTTAGCATAAATGAGGTGATGAACATGGAGAAATAAGGAATGTCTTTATTTTAATGAATTTTAATAATTTTTCATTTTTAAATATCATCAAGTGTGCAGGAGATACTTGATTATATTTTGTCCATGTACATGCAGCTAATTCTGTTTGGGATTAGAAAGCATTTATAAATTATGTGATGAGCTATGTTTTGTTGTCTGTTTATGTTCTCTTGGTACTGCAGTTGTAGGAGCAGCTGAAGAGTCTGGCTGAAACTTTTTTGTCACTAGTAGGAGCCTGAATATACAGGAGTGAAAGAGTTCAGGTGACCAAATAAAACTCTCCTGGGTTTTGAGATTCTGCATCAGGAAAATCTGGACAAGTGGCATGTACCTGAGTTGGTGCAAAACTAATTAAGTGTCTTGTTCTTCTGAGAGCTGGTCCTATTCTGTCAGTGAATCATAGTCTGCTCTCTCTCCATTGCTTTGAGCTTGTCAAGAAGGCACAGGAAAGGTCTGTGAGTCTCTGGAGCAAAAAAAATAAAAAAAAAATGAATGATTAAGAAGGTTACTCAGTGCTGTTTCAGGGAATCAGAGCCAGTGCCTTGAGAGCTCCTGCTCCTTGGTGCTAGCCTTCCCTTTGCCACTGCTGATGTTCTCCATCCTTCATCCAGCACAGGTGTGTCATCACCCAAGCAGTGAGTAACTGGAAGCTGCTGCCACTGTTCCCATTGCTGTGTTAGTGGAAAGGGCTACATGAGGTGGTCGCTCCCCACAGAGGGTTAGGAGGAGCAGTGAGTGACCTGATGGTTATCTTTTTGCCTCCCAACATCAGCGAAAACACGAGCCTGGCCCTGGAGTGCTTTCCCAAGCCATGTTCCTTCCTGCACTAACACAGTGCTGGCTTGTCCTTAGGGTGGGAAAACTTGAGGTTTACTTGTTCTGTCAAAAAGCTTTGAGCCAGCTTGACTGGTTCTGTAGACCTGTTTTTCTGTAGTGAGTAAATACACAAATATTTAGCAAGAAAGGAATACTCTATCTTTTTGGAATTATTAGTGAATCCCAGTATGAAAGCATGTGCAAAGTAAGAGAAGGTCAGTCATTCCTGGGAACACAAGCTGTCATTTCTCTGACTTTTTTCTTTTTTTTCCTTTTTTTTTTTTTTTTTGTTTTTGTCCTTTTAAATTCTGTTTCATAAAACCATTTTCAGTTTTTTGGGGGTTACTCAAGGTAAAACTTGACTGGATAAACCAAAACTCTTTGTTCACCCATGTTCTTTCAAACTGCTGTAAAGCAAGTACAAAATCTCTGCTGTTCTGATTTGGTACTCTTGGCTTTTATAACAAATTCTCAATTGCTAAATTGTAGCTGCACACAGGGCACAGCACTAGTGAATCAAGCCCAGAAGTATTTAAGGCTCTAAAATAATGTGCTTGGATGTTGTGAACAAAATGCATTGGCATTTACATAGCTACCCTTCCTGGTACAATTTTCGATTAAAATCTGGTTAGCAAGGCAGGCTAGGAAAATTGCTATAAGCAGCTTTTGGTGCTCTTAATAAATCACTTTAGGTGGTAATTTGACAAATGCCCATGAATGCTGGATTTCAAAACGAGGTATGTCAAAGGCAGAAGACAATACCAACTTTTCAGCTACCCACTGAGTAGACTTAGAAGCAGCTGGGTCATAGTAATGAAATGCTGACATATGCGCTAACTTGGCCAATACAGTCAGGAATGGGTTGGGGAAAAACCACGAATTCCAACTTTTGCTTATGCAGTTACTTCTTTCAGTTGTTAAAATGGTGTCATTAATTGCATTTCTGAATAAAATGTTTGGAACTAAATTGCTGGTAGCATGCGAGGTGTACAGAACTGTAGATGCACTATTTGTTCCCAGTAGCTACATTTTCAGTTGCTTTACTGTCTAACTTTGAATACTGTTGCTGTAGATACTTTGCAGCTGTGAACTTTTGTAACTGAACTGTTCAAATTATGAAAAGGTAGAGCTACCTGTATTTTTTTCCTTTTTACCAGGCAATGCACTTTTCATACTAAGTGTAAAATAGGCAATCTGAAAAGTCATCTCTGTTGAAAAAACAAACAAACAAACAACCCCAGGAATCCACAGGAAATGTTGTTACTTGTTCTCCCTCACTGTAGCTTTTTAAAAATTATAGGAAAGGGTGATTTCCTTTCAGGGGAGAGAGGATATTCCCCAGTTGAAAGATTGGCCAGCTATATCAGAAGTGGCTGACATGTCTTGTGATGAAATCCTCATTGAGTCAGAATTTATCTTAAAACCCTTGGTGTTTTAGCTGCTGCATACTGCAAGTGGAGTGACTGAAGACATTCTTTCGTCTTAAGTTGTCTAAATTTCATTTAAATATTGGCTGATAGACTTTTTTTTTTTCTCTTTTAACCGTAAATTTGAGATTTAAATGTACACAATTTCCCAAACCTCAGTCCCCGTTATCTACAATGCAACTTCACAGCTTTTGTTCTGAAATGCAAACAAGAGTTCAAGCTTACTAATTCTGCAGAGTACTATTGCTCTAGGTTTGAAGCAAATGAATAAACCATAGTTTTTATTTACTGCTGCTCTGCTTCACTGGGCTAAGCACGCTTTATATTTGTATGTAATTGTTTCAGTCAGTGCTATTGGAAAACTGCTGGCATCAAGAATACTGTTTGCTTGTTAATACTGAAAAGTAAGTTTTCAGTACGTGGATTTTTAATATAAGCCTGTTGCAGATTTAAAAAATTAAATAAGTGAGAAAGAAAGCCGCAGAGTTTGTTTTGATAAACAAAATGCTGCTTTCAAATTTTATCTGAAGAACATGTTGTTATTCTGATTGTGGTTGTTACTTATTATCAGTGATTATATGGATTTTTATCTTAAGATTGGCTGGTATCTTTTCTCTCCCAGAGCCTCTTTAGAAATTAACTGCCTTCTCTGTCATCTCAGCTCACACTCTTCTGGGCTAGTGGCAGCAACTGGGAGTTACGCCTGTAAGGTATGAGAAGGCTAGAGGACTCAGAGATGTTGATGTGTTTCTGAAATCCCTTGCTATTTCCCACTGTTGGATAGCTGTTTTTATCTGAAAACCTAGAATTTTGGGAGGTCCTCAAACTAAAACCTCTTTACAAACTCATTTGGGGTTCCTCAAACTAAACCCTCCTTACAAACCCGTTGTGCAGCAAGTATGTAATTTCTCTCAGAGAACACTGAGGTTCCCAGATAGCAAGGGGTGAACAGTATTAGCAACTCAACTGTATGAACCCAGGAGACAAGCTTGCTAGAAGTCAGGGTGAGATGTAGTTTGATTCCAGCTTGTCTCTAGAGGAGGAGGGAGGGAAGTCTCCAGCTTGACACTTGGTCTCAAAGTGCATTGAAGTGCTCCTTGTAATTATTGCTGGTGTATGAAACTGAGGTTAATGAAGAAAGTCGGAGGGATAAATCATGTGTCAAATACACATCTTCTTTATTCCCAGGCCCCACAGGGCACTGACTGTAGATGCCCTGGAAGAGATAAGAGCTTTCTCCTTTTCGGGGGATGGTTGGTTGGTTGGTTTATTGCGTTTTGTTTGGGTTTTAGGATGCTCCTCTGGAAAGGAATTTGCTTTTGGATGCACACATTTACTGAAGTTATTTAAATGAATCAAACTAACGTGGGGAGTGTGCTACCACAAGGAATGGAGTGCCATTGCGTGCTCCATAGTATGCGAAGGTGATGGGAGCTTTCTCACACTCAGATGCTCTGAGGGAGCCTTGCTTTTATACTCATTTTTCCTCTTTTGCTTGAAGCTAAAAATTGAAGTGTAGCCATCTTAGCAGTAGGGCAAGAATAAGTTGGTGTCACATTGACAGCCAGAGGTCTACTAGAAATGAACTCCATCCAGTGTTTGCTATATTCTGGTGCTACATTTTTCTAAGTTCTGTAGCCTTGGAATATTTTTGCGGCTTTTAATACTAAAGAGAAACTTGGAATATGTTCTTTATGTAACTTCACTACTTTTGTTTTATTTAGCTTGTAGAAGACATGAATGGAAAAGTTTGGTTTTTTTAGTGTGTC